GAATATGACTTACCTCAATGACAATGATATAATTATTGTTGCCATCTGATTTTGCATTACGGGGGGGGGGGGCTTTACCCGGGCTGACTGATGCAGAGACAGCATTCGTGCCTTATGTAGGAGGCGGCCGTATTGGTGTACAGGTTTGGTTAGGCTGCGCAGTAATAACACGACCACCACAGTCCCAATTAGAGCTAACATGTATCTGTTGTCTACAGTCCAATAGTGTAAATGCAAGGAGACAATTTGCTTTGATTAGGCCACGGATCCCAGATCCTATAAAGTCTGTGGTCAGGCCAATGCTTTATATAACTTCTATCTACCAATCAGTGCATGCTAATGATCAGGCTACCCAATAATAAAGAGGATAAGAAGGCCTAATTCAAACAACCATTCGCTCTTGTAGCAATATTAGTAGACTGGGTTCCATTCCTTAATTTCTGAACAATCGATTTTGGCACCAATGGCGTTCCATATTACATATTTGCTTGGCGTTTCATAGTATACTTTTCTTGGATTAAAAAATTCGCATCAAAAATGTTTCTCGACATAAATTGACGCTGGTGGCGCTTTCCGAAATGTGCTAATACTACGAAAAATAAAAAAAATTAGAGACTTGTTGCAAGTCTAAGTATTATCCTTGACGCAGGGTTCTCGGAATGCCGCCCTCAGCGGCGTGTGCAAAGCACAACTCAAAGTCTGGGAGTGGAACGGTTTTGTAGTCAGATTTGCGAGAAAAACTTAAGCTACCGGTATTTCTCGACTGAGACGTCAGTGGGAGCTATAATAATTGTATGGCAAGCAGTAGGTGCCACCCTCAAATTCGTTTTATTGAATTTATGCCCACAAACCACCTTGTAGTGATAAATATTTATTTTTGCTGGCATCACGCTCAACAAAAATATTATAGTTAACATGCATACATCATAAGAATACGTCACCTTTTCCTGGTAAGACAAACTTTCCTGGCGTGCTTTTTTTATAGACAAACTACCACTACTTTGCACATGGATGTCTTACTTAGCTAGGGCTACTGGCCAAGAGTCGCATTGTTAGCATAGTATAATACAGGGGCGGATCCAGAGATGTCCAAAAAGGGGGGGGGGCGAAATGTGGGCCGATCAAAACAACAATGTCCTAGGGGTCCGGGGATATGCACCCGCGAAATTTTTGTGTTCTACAGTAGACTCCCGAAAATAACATTTGAGGCGTTCTGGGCTATCATTTTTTTCATTTTCTTCCTTTCTTTTTTCTTTTTTTTACCTCCCAAAAGGGTGGGGGCGGGACTGGGCCGCCCCACCCCCCTAAATCCGCCCCTGTAATAATTAAGGTATGTCTGCAACTGTATTATTCTTATTAAATTTTGTTTTATATTAATTTATTTCTTTCGAAAATGTACTTTTTATCACATATAATTGCACTCTTAGGCCTAGTCTTACTAAAAAGTAGCCTCACCGTCTCCCGCTACACAGTGCATTGGTAGGTTAGGCAACAGAACGTGATGTGCCATTATTCCCAGGTTTTCATGTAACATTTGAATATTGTTGGCAAACCAACTTATACTTACCGTTCCCCCACGCTACAATACAGACGTATGCATCTTCCTTTTTCAGGTGTTCATATAACATTTGCATATTGTTAGGTAACCAGCTGCGTGTATTCCTTTGTGAAAATGAGTACCGCGGCGTACACATTTTCACAAAGCATTTGCATCTCCTCTAGGCTCATGAGCACCGTACTTGGAAACATTCATTCTCCATATTTTCGCTAATGAATTACCGTAATTAGGTTTACACTTATGCATGGAGTAATCGGAGCACTTAAAATTTACAACGATTATTTCACTACTCGACAAACCCCGAACATTATTCATGCATCAGGCCTACATAAATAATTTCATGTTGCTGTACTCCAACATCGCTGGCGCATGGTAATAACCAACTGACTGCACACCATTTCCAGTCACACATTACTCCATAACGCCGCACCCTATACATCCGTCACCTCTGGTTATCATCATTATAAAACAAATGAGTAAATTTCCTATTCAATTTTTAGACGTCCGGAGAATGCATAAGCTTTATTGTTTCTGTAAATGTGAGTATTGTCCATGGGTATATGTAGTAGGGCAGACTGAGAGACAACGTTGGAGGACAGATAGTTGAATATGGTAAAAGTTTGACTACAGTTTTAGATTTACTGGAATCGGTAAGTGATGTTTTCACATTGTTGGTTATTCTTTGGTAGATTAGGTAAATTCTCATTCTTGCTAAGGCTTTTTTGTAGATGATGATGTTGATATTATTGTTTATATTTTAATTGAATATTGGTTAAATGAAGCACAGGACTTTGATGTCTGGATACCTAGGAATTATTTATTAAGAGTTGAAAAGGCATGCAGTAACTGTACATTCATTCTAAACCATTTAACGTAATTTTTCTCAATTTCCCTATAAATTCAGAAACCTGAAGGCGACAATTAATACTAGTCGATAGTTATGAGGATTCTTATAGATACCAAAAACCATGATTTTGCTAGATCTCTAATAATTTACACTTCACACGTATACAGAGATATTAGTGCAGTATTTTTTGTTTTTTACGGCCTACGAATACAGTGCTCTATATTAAGGAGCGTTACTAGGACTAAGGGGCAGTCATATTATAATATTATGTACTACCCTGATTCTTTGGTAGATTAGGTAAACTCTCATTCTTGCTAGTTTTTTTCTTGTAGACGATGATGTTGATAATATTGTTTATATTTTAATTGAATATTGGTTAAATGAAGCACAGGACTTTGATGTCTGGATACCTAGGAATTATTTATTAAGAGTTGAAAAGGCATGCAGTAACTGTACATTCATTCTAAACCATTTAACGTAATTTTTCTCAATTTCCCTATAAATTCAGAAACCTGAAGGCGACAATTAATACTAGTCGATAGTTATAAGGATTCTTATAGATACCAAAAACCATGATTTTGCTAGATCTCTAATAATTTACACTTCACACGTATACAGAGATATTAGTGCAGTGTTTTTTGTTTTTTACGGCCTACGAATACATTGCTCTATATTAAGGAGCGTTACTAGGACTAAGGGGCAGTCATATTATAATATTATGTACTACCCTGACTTAGCTAATGTTTTTTTTTTCTCTACTTATTTGCATAGCTGAAAAGAACCAAAACAATCGATCAAAGCATTCATTGACATTATCACGAATACTAACGAACAATCTACCCTTAAATGATTGGCTAGGTTCAGAGCACTATGTGGAACATGCTCCATCGGTAATCGTCACATCATCTAAACTAATGTCACCTGTAAAACCAACTCCTCTAATTCCTTCAAACATTACCCGATAGATACCGGATGTTGAAACTGAGACTTGCCCAAGTATCCAAAAGTTTCCTTGGTTGTTTGTTCTGGTCCACACTGGTGACCCAACAGCACCTGTAGAATCGACTATGTACACATTTAAAGTGTTCACTGTGGCACCGTACATGTGGAAGAACCACTCGATGCATAGGCCGTTCGTGGCAGGATATGACGGTGTCCAAAGACGAGCGATGTCATCCCTAGTCTGACCTGTAGCTTCAATGTACATGTAGTAGCCTCCTGCAAGCAAGCAAAATTATAAATGCGTAGTTGTTGTGATTTATGTAATTTAATGTACAATCATGTCAAACACACTGAAAATGAAAATTAAAACATTGTGTAGTTGATTCGTGTGGTATATCTGTTTGGTTGTGCTTTGTACGTGTATTTATTCTCTACATTGTTACATTGTAATTTCTGCTTTATTTTTGTAACCTTTCACAATTTTATATATTGAACATAAGTGGTATCACTTCTGTTACCTTGACAAGTTCCCAGTGTGTGGTCAAATGAAGGGCCCGTATCAAATGAAGGTGTTGATGCAGATCTTCTGCTCCAATCAAAATCGTCGTTAGTGTCTTGTACCAAGTTACAACTACTCGGATATTCGAAATCACATTGGGAAAATGCTGGAATACACAAGAAAAAAAATAACTGAATATAGTTGCATTGGTTTAAAATAAATAACACAGCACAGCGTTAAATTTATTCAATGTTCAAACCATATCGAGGAACTGGATTTCATTTTAACACAAACATTTACTCAATAAGTCTCCGAAGAGATATAGTTATTGACTGGCTGTCAGCACAGTTTGCAATGGGAACCTGTTCTTTAGTGCAGATGAAGTAATATCTGCCCCTGCCTTACCCCTTTACTATGCATTCTTATGAAATAATATGAAAATACAGTAGATAAAAAGATATGAAACATATGAAATGATATGAAATAAAATGAAATAATATGAAATTTCATTAATTTTTTTTTTTATTTTTTTTTTCTTCAAACACTACGCTAAAAGATCGAAGCTTAAATGAGACATTGCTCTCCATGTGTGACTTGAAGACTTGGCATGTATCAAAGGGGTTTTTATAACAGATTAAAAAACAAACAACCAAACAAACAAAAAATAGAAAAACAACCTCAATGCCTACTATAACTCACAACATGGCCCAATTAAATCAACAGTTTTAACAACTTTCTATTTGGTTAGCTGTCTGTCCCATAATTCATCAATTTGTGAGGCTAGCTCTCTGTCTCATAATTCATTAATTTGTGACAGCGAGGGTCATGACCTCCAATCACATCTAAACATACAATACCCTAAAATAATTCAACACAAACATGACTTAAAATTAAGCATGGACACAGTAGATGCACCACATTTATGAATTGTCTTGTAAAAAAATGCGGTAGGCCTAACGTGATACATTTCGTTGACTTTCCGTGTATTTTGTCTGCCATTAGGCCAATTGATCATGAATAATTGTTCTATTTTATAAAAACTGTTTGCGATATTTAACATACAAGCTAGAGGTTAAGCTAGCATAGCAAGCGTACCCTCTAGTAGTAGTAATAATACTACTAATACTACCACTACTACTACTACTACTACTACTACTACTACTACTACTACTACTACTACTGACGATGATGATGATGATAATAATAATAATGTAATACAAGACCTTACTATATTATTTCATATTCTTTAGCTTCATTTATTAATTACAAGTTGGAAAATGCAAATTGAGAAATGCGAGTGAGACATTCTAGATGGAGTTGGAAAATGCTATATTTGGTAATTGGAAAAAACTAAAGTTACGAGTAGATGCTAGATCGGGAATACCAGTTGCGAGCTGGAAAAAAGTGATGTTAAGAAATGCGAATTAGAAAATGCGAATCCTAAGCATGTAGCCTTTCACTTTTCAGGCCAATAAAGATCCATTTGGTGAATAATAATGAGATGTACCTTTAGGTTTGCGTTGTGTTACACATGCGCCATTAGTGATCTTGACGTCATCTAAAGCGATGTCACCTGTGTAACCACTTCCTCTAATTCCTTCAAACAATATCTGGTATATACCGAATTCTGCAACTGAGACTTGTCCTAGCAACCAAGTGTCTCCTTGGTTATTAGTCTTATTCCACACCGGTGTGCCAACCGTGCCTGTAGAATCGACTACGTACACATTTAATGTGTTCACCGTGTTCCCGTACATGTGGTAGAACCACTCAATGCATAGACCTTTCGATGCGGGATACGACGGTGTCCAAAGACGAGCGATGTCATTGCTACTCCTGCCTGTAGCTTCAATGTACAAGTAGTAACCTCCTGTAAGTAGGCAAAGCATAATGCTTGAGATTCATTTCATTGAATTATGTCTCCTTAAGATTCATAATGAAAATAAAACTTACAACATCTGATAACTGATTGGGGACATCTGTATATTTGCAGATGATATTATTTAAATATTTCGTGCTTTGCTTTATTTTCATTCCTGATTTCACAATTTAAAATTAATAACTATAAAAACATATTGTCGATCTTTGTTACCTTGTGAAGTTCCCAGTGTGTGGTCAAATGATGGACCAGTATTAGTTGAACTTGTTGATGCAGATCCTCTTGTCCAATCAAAATCGTCCATAGTGTCTTGAACGAAGTTACAAATATTCGGATCTTCGAAATCACACTGCGAACTATCTGAAGTTTTACAATTATATAAATAAGCTTTAGGTTAAAATAAAGAGCAATTGCCATAATGTCTATTTTATCGAGGATTATTGATATGTGATAATTCAGATGGATAGTATGCTTCAAAGTTAGACTAAGCGTCGGTAGAAAAAGATATTTGTTTTTGCAGAGAGTACGGTATACGCCTAAATAGAGTCAGCTATGGCGGCAAAAGAAGCAGCGACATTGCTAATGGAACGACAGCATACTAATGGTCACATTATTTCAAGAAATTATCTTTTAGGCTTACCTGGTAATGAACATGCTCTATTTGTGATCGTGATGTCATCTAAGCCGATGTCACTTGTGTAACTACTTCCTATAATTCCTTCAAACATTATTTGATAGATGCCGAATACTGCAACTGAGACTTTTCCAAATATCCAATTGTTTCCTTGGTTGTTTGTTTTAGTCCACACGGGTGAACCAACAATACCTGTTGAATCGACTGCGTACACATTCAATGTGTTCACTGCTTCCCCGTACATGTGGTAGAACCACTCGATGCATAGGCCGTTTGTTGCAGCATATGACGGTGTCCAAATACGGGCAATGTCATTATTACGCCGCCTTGAAGCTTCAATGTAAATGTAGTGTCCTGTAAGAAAGTGAAAGCATAAGTATGCAATTCTTTTTACAAATAATTACCTCAGCCAAAAGAGGTTACATATACTGTCTGTTAGCAAGATTATATATTTATTTATTTGTTTGTTTGTTTGTTTGTTTGTTTTTTTGTTTGTTTGTTTTTTTTAAATGTATTTATTTATTTATTTATTTATTTATTTTTATTTATTTATTTATTTATTTATTTA